GTTATTACGTCTTAATGCGACTATAACTGTCCCTTGTTCGTAACAAGTTACTAACTTTATGCTGCAGAAAGTCTGAAAATTTTTCACTTTAACCATGTTTATTTCTTTGTTCGTTCGACCGCGTTCTCGACGTGACTCGACTTTATAACGACCCACTCCACATACATAGACAAAAGTCTTTTATTATTTTCATTATTTCCATGCAACACTTCCGGAATAAACTTAGCCGGTCAAAATGAAAACTATTGTAAGTTAGTGTTCAGTTATTGTGTAAATATAAATTCGTTTAATTAAATTTCCCTTTCCGGATGAGCATACATCCGTATGGGAAGGGAAAATATTTTCTTTCTGCGCATCCCTCCCTCCGTCGATTAAAGGTAGGCAACGGATATATAATTTCGTATGTCTATGGGCAACGACCGCTTCGTTATTTCAACGATAAAAAAAATTGTTATTTAACTTTTTTTTTTTATTCTACACAATCAATTACTCAAGAAATACGTTATCATAATCAAAGAAAGACTTTGATTAAATCTTCTAAGAAATACTTCGATATCAATATATTGTTGGAACGGCGGCAAAATTTTATAAGATAAATGTTTGTTCATAGACGGCTACAATATTAATTACTCATCGTATAATTATATACACATATTAAAAGTTTCCCGTAACAAATGTCTTGGTAACTTATCAGCCTTACTTAATTTCCATAAAGATTAAGTCTAAAAATAGGTACTCAGATGAAGATACGCTGATATTTTATAAAGTCTATGAATTGCGTAGTCATATTCTTCCTAAAGACAAACTTTAGATCGCAGGCCGTAGTTAAGTTAGTCCCAACCACTAGACGTTAGTGCTTACTAAGAAAAGATTTTAACTAGCTTATTCTCTAAAGGTCTGCTGTAGGGGTATCTATTTATAAAAAGATGTGGGCAGAGGTTTTAATAGGTAAATTTATAATCTTTAACTCGGTTTTACGAATTTTTTAATGAAACTCACCGTTTTCACTCGCGCTCACCAAAATCGGAAACAATTTTTGGTCCCTTTGACCTTGAATATTCTTATTCCAAATGCTGGATTAACGGGGATGTTTTAAGAAATTTTACAGGGCTTTTACATATACCTAATGGTATTCCCAACGTTCCTCCCAATTTTCAACTCTATGCAAATTATTGAAGCTTCAATACTTAAGTTTGACCATAAAATTCGAGTAGCTAATATTTTAAAAAGTTGCACTGATATAGATTCCTTTATACCGCTCTATATATTTTTATCAAACTTAGCGACGTTGACTTTACCGGAGTGACTATCGTCGACGTTAGCAAAGTTTCCGGTCGGTAACTAGAAAATCTCGTTAAGCAGCTTCCTTCTGCAGCTAATCAACTAAACGTTGCGCCGCGTGTTTACATGTAAAATAAATAAAGTTGTCCCCTCTGATGTTGAATTTATCGCAGTTAAGTAAACTTGTAATTCTATTATAAGACGCTATTTATATCTTACGTACAGTACCTTTGAATTCAAATATTTCCACACTTTTTTCTCGCTTGAAATGTGTTCGTTTGAATAATGTGTGTTCTTGAAAGTGACGTTTTCCTGACGAAAAATTCCCGTCTTGCACGTAATAACGTCGAGGTGAGGTTTGAAATGTCGTTTTACACACTTATTTCTACGCTGCGTATGAAAATGTACGTAGGAATGTTTACCGCGTTAGAATATTTATCGCTACCTAAGAAATGCCTACAAAAAAAAATAATCGATAGTATATTCACTTGATTTATAAGTAAATGGAAGTAAGACAGAGTAAATGAGATATGTATATACAAGAAAGTCGTGTTCGTTACACTATTTATAACTCAAGAACGGCTTTACCGATATAGCTGAAAATTGGTGAGGAGGTAGCTGAGGCCCAGGAGACGGACATAGGGTACTTTTTATTTAATTATTTTTCGAATTTATGCCTTGAAGAGCTGCTTTTTTATTTATTTAACTTACTAATATTATAAATGCGAATGTTTAGATGGATGTGATGTGGATGGATGGATGGGCGGGGTAAACTAATTTTTTTTTTTTTATATATACTCGCGGACGGAGTTGCGGGCGACAGCCAGTGTTTCATTAAATGAAAATATGGTTCTCAAAATGTTTATAGGAATGTATACATAATTTCCAAATTTGAAGAACTCTAAACATTTCGTAGTGTGCGTATACCATTGACATGTTCTGTGTTGTAATGTATTGAAGAGATATTGCCATGATCACAACGGGAATTGGCAACATTACTCTGGTCCAAATGAGCCTCCAAGCTATTAATAGGGTTCATACGACTAATTGGGAAATCCTTTTAACTATCTGGGCTAGGGTAGTAATTGTCAAACAAACGAAGCAATAGAACAATAAGCATGATTGCCTATTTGTCAATCGTTTCATTGCACCGACAGGCAGGATGAAAATAAAAGGTTAATTCTCATTGAAATTCAGTTTTATAACCGAAAAGTATGTTTAGGTGTTCAAAATTTCAAAATATTCCGTAACATAGGCCTTTTTAAACGCAAATTTAATCAAAAAATTGCCTCAAATTGAGTCATGTTAGTCGCATATTGTAGGTACTTAAATCATTTTTCTTTTAGTAGGGTTATGCATGAATCTCCTTTGTAAATTGTACCTGCCATTTATAAAATAACAATGTCATTACCACGTGGAACATAACCATATTGATCGAGTTCTATCAAGCTAAAAGCAAAATGCTCATACCATTTTGCCCGTGCTTTAGAACGGCTTACGACCATTTTGATAAATTGTAAGTCGGTTTAATATAACTTTCCAAGAAATAGTCAATTTAAATATTCAATTGAAAAATATATCATTGCAACGATGGCTTACTGTATTAATATTTATGCTACAATCGAATTTGTCCTGACATTGAATAAGTTCTATCGCGTAGAAAATTAAATTCCTTCCTTTAGAGTGGATAGAGCAAAGCATTGGGCACGGTTCTTTTCAATCTCGACATAATTTGAATTTCATTTCAGTTTCGACTTGAGACTTGTGGTCGGATCTCGTATCTATGCAAATTGTAGCAAATAGCTTTGACTCTAACAAATGAATTATTTGATCAAACCAGACAAACGTGACACAACTAGATTGGTCAATTGCTCAAAATTTATTTGAGATATGTGCAGGAAAAGACTCGCTTCATACTTAGGATCGAATATGGTACTTAAAATTTTGCCATGTAAAGTCTGCGACCTAATTGCACTTTGAGCACCAAGTGACATTTCGCCTTAGGAGGTCAGGAAATAAATGTGCTCGACTGCAAAATAAATTAATCAATTATAACAAGTCATCTTCAGATATTATTTTCTGACGTTTTCTTTTCAATAACATAGATATATGTACTATAAAATATACATACAACTTTTATACAAAACATCGAATTTATTTTTCTTTTCTGGCCGTTATCTCCGCATAAGTGTGCCGTTTTTGTCTGTTTTTAAATACGTAAATATTAAAAATAAATGATTATTTGCATTGAAGGACTAGTAAGGAAAATAAAATATAGGCACGAAGGCTTATTTAATGGTAGTAGATTATTATCTTAATCTTAGAGATATTAATCTTAATGGTCCACTCTATGATTCTTAATAATAGCGATTTTATCGTGTTTCTGATGTTGAAATAATTTATTTTTAATCCTGTTTTTATATTAATGGTTTATTTCAGTAACGAATGTAGCAAAGTCGTTTAGTAAAGGAAATTGTGCCAAGTCTTCAGGTCCAAGGAAATTACAATTTCTAACGGATTTCAAATTAAATGTAAGTATTGGATTCTGAACGGTACGGGGCAAATCTAACTAACATTCCATTTCCTATTAAGAACTCTGCGGAGACGATAAAAAATTACCTCCGTCTTGGGTGTTTTCCGTTGGGTCGTTCGGCCTAGCGTTTAATCGGTTGAGTCTCATTTAATAAAAATTTACATACAAACTTATATCTACCAATTTTCTAGCAGCCAGTCTAATATACGGTTTTTATGATTTGCCATCTAGCGTTGAGAGTAAAAATTAAATGCGTTGTGTTGCTTCCGAATAACAGGTGTCGTTTTAAATAAATTTTTAAAGCTAGGATATAATAGACGCTACTTTCAATGGTATAGCGCTACGAACTCGCTAAAATAATTCTTGTTTAGTCTTTTTAACTCTATTTAGCTTATAACTATTTTTTTTATTGTAAGTGAACACTAAAATATTAATGTCGTGAAGAATTTTTGTCTTCAAAAATTAAATAAAACCAGATTTTTTTCAAAGATAAATTTTATTTTTAATAAAATTCAACTCTCTAGTTGGTCACAATATGTCACACTGAAGTGGAAGAAAATATTTCATATCTACTTTACCAAAAAATACAAGATTTAAATTATAAATACCGCGGGTTTCCACTGTCGCTACACAATTGCAAAAACAATTATATAATAGATATCCGTAATACATCGAAAAAATGAAAGGATGATATGATTTTAAAGCCACCAATTGGTTTTCAAGTATCATGGCGACCCAAGGTCATAAACTCCCACAAAGTCTCACTACATCCGGTACAGTTAAAATTGTGTTCTGCGCAGCGACTCGCGTGAAGTTAAGAGTCGCCAAATGTCTTGAAAACATTTTATACGTACCTTCAGTATTAACTGCACATTCTGTGACACAACACAACAATCAGACTGCGCAGTTATAACTGTCCGGTGTGTAACTGGCTTTATTGTGTCGGCAGTGGAAACGAATTGACAAAAATTCAAATGTCAATATTTTAAACATACAGTATTTATTTTCTATACATATAATGGCTTACAATTCTGAGATTCATCATTTTTTTTAAATCTTATAAAACTATTATATTGCACAGTTAGATGTGATTTGTTGATTTTAAATTCAAAATACGCATACGTATTTATAAAAAAAAGAGAGATTAAAATGTAATACTAGTTATAGAGCGGACATTACGAGTTTCTTTCAAATATTTTTTCATAATCTCTGTCACGTTTTAAACAAAAATGTACGGATGGTTCATCTTTTTGAGCTTACAGTTTGCTTCGTGATGTCCCGTCTATATCTTTATAAATCATGAATTATAAATCAATAAAAAATTCTATGTAATATACAAATTGTAAAATTGGTCTATCCTATATACTATGTGAAGTGCTAGTAAAAATGTTTATGTAAAGATATGATAAAACGTGTAATATTGAAATACAGTATACAGAGTGTTCAGTATTGAAAAATATTTTCTTTTTAAAAAATCAGAAATACTTAATACTAACGATATGAAGACACAAAAATATGTGAAATGTCTATAAACAGTTACATTTCTCTAAATTCGTACTACATCCCTGATTAAGTACAAAAATAAAATCATAATATAAAACCACAGAATAGCTTGGAAATTATATTATATATAAAAAAAAATAATTAATTGCACACATTCTACCATTTGTAGAAAAAACAACTGCCATAGTTTTTAATTGGACAGTAACGGAGACTCTAAGCAGAGATATGGAATTATATTATTGCCCTAAGGGCCTGCATAGTAAACCATTTAAAGACTCTGAGTTTAGTCGTATTTAATGTTAACTTACAAGTGTATTAATACTTTGAAAATAATAATAATCATAAAAAAGGTCAAAGCCTAAGAGGTCAAACAAATCACACGTAAAAATTCACAGTCGAAATTACATTAACTAATTATTACATTCCTAAGTTTAATTTCAAACGATTAGATGTCCAAAAGGAACTAAATATGACTAAATTTTCTTTAAACTAATTATTATCAGCTTCAACTAAATTCTCTTATAGAGACCTATTCTAATATCAAATGCCTAAAGTCAAAATAAAGTTAAACGAAGAAAAAAATCAAATTCAATAGAGATGAAAAATTATAATATCACTGGCTGATAATATCATCTTGTCTATGGTTTTACTTTAAAAGGATAATTAAAAATGTCTATTTTTAATAATTCTGTAATTACAGATTTATGGAAGTAAAATAGCTCTGAAAGGTTTGTTATATTTTCTCATTTCAATTGAATAAGACTATACGATTAAACATATTAGGCACAATAAAGGGATTAAATTCAAGTTATAATATAAATTAAGTACCACATGAAAAACACACACAAGCACATATTTAGCAAGAAAATAATTAATTTTTTAGCCGCCTTATCTTTTAAAAAAATAATGAAAAAAAAAAAATTTTTTAACGTTTGAGTTTTTCGAATACCATTAAAATGTAGAAATATAACATATAATTGGCAAGAAAAAATTATAAATATGTAATACTGATTACAACAACCAAAAAGTTCTAGCTCAAGACATAAGAAAGTCGTCAAAAGAGTCCTAACTTGCATAGAAGAAATGATGGGCTCCTATTTTTTTTAATTTATGACTTACGTCCCTTCTTGCTCCACCAAAGCCGCTTGAGATAAAGAAATCTGTTGAGATCGTGGCAACGGTTTCATAATCAACATCTTTATACAGGGTGTTAATAAATACACCAACACGCCCAGAGCCACCATAGAGATGACAAAAAGTGTCCATTGAGCCGCCTTTATAGATATCGCTGCGTCAGACAAAGGTTCGATCAGTTGACATCGCACGAGAAGTGATGAAGAAGTATTGTATGGACCACTGATTGTTGCGTTTGGGCCACAATTTGATGTTCTCCAACCTATCCATCCAGCAGATCTATTAAATACCACCTAAAAAGAAAATGAACATTGAAAAAACAAACTACGAAGGAGTATTTTGATATTTTAAACCATTTTTTCACTTTAGCCGACCGTTTATGTTCCATTTCCGCTAATGCAGCTGCAACTACTATATAATTAGAAGTCACACGCTGCTATATTAGCATCATTGAATACTATTAAAAGTAGCTTAATGGAAAACGGATTTTAGGATTAACAAGTGCAACTTCCACTAATGAGGATGCGTGCCGGAAGTCTAATTTTAGTCATCGTTCATTCCCCACCTTTTTCTTATAAGGAAAGAAAGGGGAGATGGATTTGACAGAGGAGTAGACGCATAAGAAGGGAAATATCATCTTTTTGTGCATAAATTCCTCTGTGGATTAAATGTAAAATCTTCAATAGCGATTTTGGCGAATTCAAGTGGTCGCTTGCTAATTTAATAATAATATAATAATATTTATTTATTCTCACTACAAGATTCACAAACAAATACAAACATATAAGTTCAAACACAACTTTGTTGTTACATATTCGTGATTTATATGACCCTAAGTTATGTAAGTATTAAACAGAGCTAATATAAAATACAAAGCAATAAATTTCTACATGCTAATATTTATTTATAACTAAGTAGTCTGATATGCAAAATTACGCTTCTTTACATTATAAAGCTATAACATGTATATAGCAAAAAAAGAAATTAAAATTACAAGTTATTTTACCACTATTACGTATACTTCTAAATTGTTCTCTTTTTTTAATTACTATATGTTTATTTATTTTTTTTCAATCATTTTCCATATTTGCAATCATTTTCCATAAAAAAGGGTCTTGACAGACGGACGTACAACAAATTTATCCTTCATGGGTTCCACTTTTTTCCTTTCGAGGTACGGAACCCTTAATAGGGATAAGAATGGATATTCACACATAAAAATATCAGCAAGTACCTGTAGCCCCTCCATAACAGTGTATCCTAGGACAGTCTCCTTGCCTCCAGCCTCTAGGCCCAGCTTGTAACAGAACTCGGACACAGAGCCGCCTGTCCCGCTGTTGTTTCTGGCTGACACTACTCGCATGTAATTCTACAAATGTTTAATAATATTAATAAAGCTCTATACATTGGTCTTGTATGTCTGTGCATAGTTTCATCTATAGATAGAACCTTTTACTGCATTGAAGATCAATCATAGGTTTAAATTCGTCCATAATACTTGGTAAAAAAAAGTGTTTTTTTTTTAATTGAAAATAGCTTTATGCACCAAACTGTGGCAAATTTTATATTTATAAGTTAGCTGCAGCATCCATAAAAATGAACAAAACTTTTGCTCCGCCAATTAAATATGGTTCAATCTACCAAGTAGTACATACACGGTATATATTCTATGTTATATTAGTTTTACAGTAGTGTAAGTAATGGGGAGAAAAACTGCTTTTTGCTTCTGTAGAAGTCAGCACGATCGAGAGTAACAGCAATAAAAAAAAAAAATTATTTAATATCCAAAATACAAGCAACTCTGTGTAGTATCGCCACAGGAATGACTTCCGTCAAATTTCATACAAAAAAGTAATTATTAAGATAGATCATTAATTATTTGTGATTTAAGATCTTTATTCCTCCAAGAATTTACAAAATTCACTTACGAGAAACAATTTTACAAGAACATGAAATTTTACCAGTAGTCAGACATTACATTTTACTAACAAATTACCTTAATTTATTTTTAAATGATGACATGGTTTTTATATCGCGGATGTTTTTAGGCAGATTATTATATAACTCTCCTCCCTCAAAAGCTATGCTTTTCTCACCAAAATTGGTTCTGGGCTTTGATAATTTTAATTTATCTTTGTTTCTTGTTTCATATATATGAGTCCTCTTTTTAATCATTATTTGCGAGATTGTCTCATGTGTTAAAATTTTCCTTATGAATATACATGTATTATATGTGTAAAGTTGTTTTAAATTAAATTTCTTAGTTTTTTTATATTTAAATTTCAGAAGTCATCGAAATGTATTATTTTTAACAAAAAATTAAAAGAGGAATATTCTTTTCTTAAATCACTAAAATGACGTATTAAACTTTGACAGATGACAGTTGACTCTTGACGTTAGCGCCATCTACTGAAAGCTTGCTGTTTTACTCCCCATTGTTAGAATTTTACCTGTGGAGGCAATTCTAGTGTGAAGTATTGGTTTTCTGCGTCAAAGTCCAGCAAATGTATCGCCAGCCGTGGCAGCGACCAGCGCTGCGGCTCCGGCCAACACGCCGCCTGCACAATACGCCCTGTACTTTGTGGAATCGACATAAGAAAAGTGTTACATCACTTTTGACCATAGACAACTAGAGGAAATTCCTCCTTTCTAACATTGTCCTTGCAAGAGCACATCTTCCAATTCCTTTCTTATAAGAAAAGGTTGAAAAGAGGATTCTTCTTTTGCTTCTCACCTTGACTCAATCAAGTCGATATTTCCACCTTACAAATAATTTAATTAAATGGTTTTTCAGAATTCACAATTTCCATTCACCTTTAACACAGTCCCTCTTTAGGACAACAGATAGTAACTTTTATTTCATAATAAAAAAGGTACAGTTATTTGACTCACCTCGCCATGATACCAAAACTCATCCAGTATTAATACATTACTGGTCTGAGCGGCATTTCTAAGCTCATTTACAACCTGGAAAAAGAAAAGAAAAAAACCATAGTCATAGTAATTTTTAACCTTTTTAAACTACTGGCGTTATCTACCAAAAAAAAACAGACTATAATATTTATAAAACCACATACCTGTCTAAATATATCATCAGGTAACCTTATATTAGTTGTTCCGCTGTCCACAATACTTTTCTGTTCGTTCAGTCTTTGGCATAAACCTTCATTTATCTCATAAATTGATTGACTCTGAGTTATATTAGTATATGTAGCGTTATTTCCAGTCTTTAATTTGGAAGCTACCGAAGACATAGTGTCCGACATCACATGGACTGATAAAACTCCCACCACAAACCAACGTTTTCTCAAAACAGGGGTACGAAACATAAAACTTTTGTTACTTATTTGGTCATCTGAAATTAAAGAATTTGATATACATATGCAAATATGTGAAAATTACATTAAAGATACAATTATTTTGTACTAAAACATTCTTATCTTACTAAAATCTGACTATCGCATATTGCAAATATTTAGATGGATGGATGGATTTGTTGGCTGAACAGATCACGATATAATTTTGCATAGTAGCACATAGTCTGGAAGAACACATAGGTTACTAATTATTTTTTTTAATAAGTGACTGATAATTTTTTTACAGTACTTACCCAATATTTTCAAATTACCATAGTGTGTCGCATTAGTAATACCCAGTACACTACATAATTTTAATTCAAAAGACATTGGCTTATTTAACATATGATCCATAGAGTCGAGCCAAGAGCCTACTATTACATTATCTCCCCATGCACCAACTGGCAAGTACGCCAGACCAAGGAGGCCCTGGAATGAAAAAGGTTATCTATATTAAAATTATCTTATTAAAACCCTAGTCAGGGTCATATTTGAGAAAAAAAATTACTTTAAGGTAACAAATACTTGTATCAATGGTTTTTAATAATATAACTATAAATCAGTCAGGTTAAAATAAAAACGAAAAAATTCAATTTAAAGTCTAATTGTCTATGTCCATATTCTTGTGCATTTTGACTGTAAAAAATCTGTATCAAAAATTGTGTTGTATTGTGTTACATCAATGAATAAAAATGATATTTCACACAGTGAAATGAAGACAGTAAATGTATAGTTATTTTTATTTAAAAAAAAATTGAATATGAAGTGACAACCAGTGTGAAATGATTACACAAATCAAATTAATTACTAATCCATACCTGCCATCCGGAACCATTCATAAAGAACTTATGACTCTTTGTAATAAGTGCAATGTCACATCTAACTTCTGTGACATTCGGCATTGACGGAAAGTGTACATAATCTGATACTAATTTGCCAACCCATGTGCCTTGTGAATACTGAGCTTGTATCTGAAATTATTACAATTCAAAGATTAAAAAAGAACACTAGTAAATACACCTCACTTTAATCAAAATTATTATCCATAGACTCATAGACAATAATATAAATTATTTGCTTAATGTGCAGTAAATCATATATTTTACTTCTTACTAATATAAATGCAAAAGTTTAAATGGACGGATAAATGTTTGATTGAAGGTATCTCTGGAACTGGTCAATAGGTTTTAAAGTAATTTAGCACAAATGTAAAACATAGTCTGGAAGACCACATAAGCTACTTATTAAGTTTTTTTTTAATTCCACACAAATGGAGTTATAGGTTAGACCTAGTTACACTATAATTTTGTAATTATAAACACACTTTGTATTCAGATACAGACTAAATAAAACTCACCTCTTGTCCACTATCATATATGCTTGTTGAATTCTTCAAATGAAAATATTTATCATTATCAGGCCGCTGATATGATGCAATAGCTAATGTTGCACTGCCTGTGTCCACTATTACATTTAACTGAAGAAAAACAGAACATAAATACAATTAGAACAAATAAATTAGTAGTTCATATGTGTATTGTATATTTACATATCCACTTTTTTCATCTTTGAAAGATTATTTACTGTCATAACTTAATATTGTTGCTGTCACAACTCACTTTTGAGACCTGCACTTATATTTCCCAAATTAAAATCCTAATTTGTTGTGGCTATTATAAGTTATTTTAGTAGCTAGGTAGTACAAATGAATTTACCTTTTGACCAGGGTGTCCAATACTTATTTCTATAGAATACGCTTGACCAGCTTCTCCAAAAAGATTAAAGTCTTCAGCATAACTTTGCTTCAATTCGCTAAAGAAAATCAATTGGAATATAAATATAATCGGCATACAAAACATTTTACTTCATACCACTATTTTTGGCATTGAATTCCAAACCAAATTACTAAGTACTCGACTTTATTTTTAAAATAAATTTGTAATGTCTGTTTTGTTTTGCTTTTGCACCAAATTGTATTAATTTGTAACTTTTTAATTCGTGATCTTGGGTGTTGAATATTGTTTGCCTTGCTAATTTCACTGGCGTCAGCGTCGGCTGTCAGCTGTCACTGTCACTGTCATTGATGTACCAAACTGCAGAAATTCCACTCAAATTTATTGAGCTCACTAATAAATTGTCACCGTTTCCTATTCCTATATAATAATATCAGAAATAATGTTTTTTTTAATTGATTTAATTTTCATATTCCAGTTATTTTACTGTCCGTTGTTTTAGTTTGTTTTTGCCTTTAGCATTACATGAAAGTTGACAAATGTCAAAGTTTGACAATCAAAATCAAAACAAAAAATTAAAGGCGCCAATTGCCAAGTTCTGTTTTTGTTTACTTACAATTTTATTAAAACTGCACCTAACAATGAGTTTGTGGGTTGATAAACACAGACCCAAAGATTTAATGAAACTTGATTATCATAAGGATCAAGCATCAAGATTAAAAAATTTAGTTCAACAAAGCGATTTCCCGCATCTTCTTGTGTATGGACCTTCCGGTGCCGGTAAAAAAACTAGAATTATGTGTTTGTTACGAGAACTTTATGGTTCTGGTGCTGAAAGATTAAGACAAGAAACAATGCATTTTACAACACCATCCAATAAGAAAATAGAAATTATGACAGTAAGTAGCAACTATCACATTGAGGTTAACCCAACGGACGTGGGCATTCACGATCGAGTTGTTATTATGGATTTAGTAAAAAATGTTGCACAAACGCACCAAATAGATTCTTCTGGGCAGCGTGAGTTTAAGGTAGTTATTCTAAATGAAGTCGATGACTTAACTAAGGATGCGCAGCACGCTTTACGTCGGACAATGGAAAAATATGTTGCTACATGCCGACTTATTTTAATCGCCAATTCTATATCAAGAGTTATACCTGCTATAAGATCACGTTGTCTAACTATCAGAGTACCAGCGCCAACAGAGAACGAAATAGTCTCGGTATTGCATTCAGTTTGTAAAAAGGAAGGCTTAAATCTTCCATCTGAACTAGCACTGCGCATCGCCAAAGCATCTGATAGAAATTTACGTAGAGCATTACTAATGTGTGAAGCATGTAAAGTACAGAAATATCCATTTACACCGGATCAAAAAGTTCCAGAACCTGACTGGCAACAATATATCAGAGAAACTGCTTCTATGATTTTAACAGAACAATCACCAAAGAAACTCGGTGAAGTTAGACAAAAGTTATATGAATTAATCATACATGGCATTCCTCCCGATATGATTTTTTCAGGGCTCTTATGTGAACTGGTTCGTAATTGTGATATATCAATGAAATGTCAGATTGCAAGCTACGCAGCAGAGTATGAACACCGAATGAGATTGGGCAATAAGCCTATATTTCATCTTGAAGCCTTTGTAGCCAAAAGTATGGCAATATATAAAAAGTATGTAGAAGAATCCCTGGGTGATGCATTTTGAATATTTGTAAGAAAAGAAAATAAGATTGAGATATTGTAAGTTTTAAGTTAAATAAAAATGCCTGTTTTGTATGAGAATGTCATTGTTTATTTTAATCTTACTAATATAATAAATGCAAATGTTTGGATGTATGGATGTTTGTTTGAAGGTATTAGCAGACTGTAGGGATCCAGATGAAATTTGGCATAGATATAGAACATAGTCTGGCAAAACACATAGGCTGATACTTAGGTTTATTTTAATTCCGCGCGGACGGAGTCGCGAGCGACAAATATACTCAAGACCAAATTTAATACAAAAGGTGAGAGGCTCAAATAATAATAATTATTTTTTGTGGCACCACATTAAAACTCAAAAACAATAAAGGTTAATGACATTTTGAATTTGGAGGTGTATAGGTTAGAGACGGTAGATCGGCTCAATTTTATTCACGCGCACAAGCGGGTAGTTTTGGAATCCTCCGCCGCTACGATCGGGCGCGGTGCCTGCAGGGGTGTGTGGGGAGGGAGTGAGTTGACGACAGGCGAAAAGAGTTGAAATTCAGCATCCGAAGTAGTATCGTTTTGTCTAGCGTACAGGGTCGCTAAGTTCACGGTTCCTTGTTCTGTCCGCTAACGATGTGTCAGCACGCTTATAGGAAGCGGTGCATCGGGTGTATTATGAGTGCAACATTGTTGGCGCCTTTAGACTGTATGATAGAGTGACTAGGCACCTGCAGGCGGTGAACGGGCATCGAGGTGGTAAGTGCCACTTTCATATATTATAATATTACGTGAACCCTCGCAACGCGTCGTGTACGGCACAACTGCTCTCTACATTTAAGAAATTAATTCAGTTGAATACCCGTCTCATCCACACAAGCTTTATATGACAATCAGTATGCTAGACAATAATGTGTATTTTTTGATAAAATGATAGTTAACTATTAAGTTAAATAGCTATGTTTACTTGCTAAAATATTCACTAATGATAATAATCCCTATTTTATTTATGTGCGTATAATTTTTATGTCGTCTTACTACACAAAGGATACTCGTGTGGACATGTCTCTTGCTCAGCTCGAATATTAGCATTTAAACTTTCTTACTCTCGGAGTTGAAAGTGGGCGAGGCTCACCCAGTAGTGGTGTTAGGGTAGGACCGTGTGGGGCATCCGCCCAGGACGCCGGGCATAAGGGGTGCCACAGATTCCAGAGTCAGATATAAATGGGCGAATGCGATTTCCCCTAAAATTGCTATTTTTGGAAGATTTCCCCCTACATCCAAAAAGGGTGCACCGCAAAATCTTGCCCAAGGCGCTGAAAATTCTTAAAATTGCCCTGAGCTTACCTTCCGTTTTTTTCAGATTAAAATGTAGTATGAGCGTAATATGTTGTACTTTTACACTTACCAAGTCATGTAATAAAAACCACCTTCGATTCATAGTTTTCGGTCATTTTTTCAATGACAATCGGGAATCAAATTATATAACATAGAATATTAAAAATAATTTATTGTTAAAAAATAGAAAATATTTACTATGGCATATATAAATTACATATCTCATTGTTTAAAGATTGGTTTGCATATACTGATAGTAATGTTTTATTGGTACTCGACTGGAAAATATTCTAAAATTATCAACTACGTTGCGCATTAACGCTACCACAACTTCATTAGCCAAGTGGTCCAGTATAGATTGATTGGTTTGTAGTACAAGCTCAATGATTCTGGTGTCTTCAGTATCTGAAATGAAAGATCGATTTTAAGCAAGAAAAAAATGTACCTGCTGTTAAAATATCTGTCCTGTAATTTGATCTCGAAAGATTAATTTTATAAAAATAACTTACACCGCTTATAAACTTTTCTGATAAAGTTTAAGGTTCAAGGTTTTTGAAAAATTAATTATTATTTAATCGTTCAACTAATGCTGCAGCTAATTTGATTGCTATGTTAGATAATAACAGAATGGATTACAAATATAATAAGCTCTCCAGCAATTTAATTATGATAAATAATGATCGTAATTTAAATTAATTGACCTTTCAAGCAATAATCAAATCAAATATTAATTTTCTTTTTCGACAAGTGAAAGATTTCAAAATGAAATTTCCATTTAGAATGCTTTATTCATTGTGTTCTTTTTAATTACACTCTAAATATTTCGTACAATCTTCGTAGAGATTTCAAGCCACATTAATTTACAAAAGTGGCAATCGTCAATGAATGAAAGAAAAAATAATATTTTTCGTTCTGTCGTTTCGGAAATGTAAAGCTGTATCACTAACCCATTTTTAAATGAAACATTTTCCTTGTTATTTACAATACCGAAAATAATTTTTGCAAGATTTATTGTGTTTCTTAGAAAAAAGCTTTCTAACACACTACAACTACTTTAACCTAAACAATCTATTACCTTCTTATATCATAGTCTTAATTAAAAAAAAACAACAGATACATTTAACTAGTATTATAAATGCGAAAGTTTAGAAGAATGGATGGATGTATGGACTCAACAGATCTTGATGACATTTGAGACATATGTAGAATTTAGTCTGGAAGAGCAGATAGGCTGCTTATTAATTTGTTTTTAATTCCGCGCAGAATTAAAAACAAATTAATAAGCTATAAATGGTAAATGTTTTTGGCAGTAGAAAAACGATGGTTATGTTTGCAATATTCGTTAAAATAGTATTTTAGTTGATAGAGATTGTAGAGTTTCTTAATTAACTATATTCATGATTGTTCGAATTATGCGTTGTGCAGTCACGACAGTGAAATATCATGCTATGACACTTCATTATGTGGAATAGCTTCATACCGGCACATGTGACACTAATTAAAGGGAATTTCTGTCATGTAGAGACGTACCGAATATATTCATCAACATTTGTTATCACGTATCAAGAGTTTGCATTACCAAAACAAGTATTTAAAATATATTGTCATCTATCTTAGTAATCTTTCTAATATTATAAATGCAAATGTTTGGATGGATGGATGGATGAATTAATGTTTGTTTGAAGGTATCTCCAGAATGGCTGTATAGATCTAGCTGAAATTTGGCATAGATGTAACACATAGGCTACTAATTAATATCGCGCGAACGGAGTCGCGGGCGACAGCTACTTTTTAAATAAAGTGTTGACAATATTATTCTTCTTATATCCTTCATTTCGATTGTAAGTCTAACTAAAAATATATACGACAAATTCCATTGGCGGCGAATACGATTAGATTTTTTAAATTTTATATGTAAAAATTGTGAAAAAGTAAATGTTGTACGATTTTATAAATAAAGAAGTGTTTTGCCAGAAATATTTGTAGTTTTTCTATGGTTCATGGATTATATTAATATCCAGTGTATTGAATTACCGAACCTAAATTTTTTTTTAATTTATATTATACAAAAAACGACATCTTGGTCCATACTCTTTTTTGCTCGTATTCCTTGTGCTACATAACAATATTGATGAGTGATGAGTGATTTTGAACACTTTCAGTTATAGGTATCAGTTTTACGTAGACATTTAATTGTTTTAAATGTAGGTGATATCAATTTTACAGTGACTACTAAAATATTTAATAACGAAACATCGGCACAGTTGTGTCCGCCATG